TGCCCCTAGCAGGCAAGAAAGGGGTTCCCAAACCTGCGATAATGTGATCCCATCCGGGTGCCTGTCCAGTCTCCTCTTGAAGACCCCCAAGGATGGGGCGAGTACCACCTCCCTTGGAAGCCCATTCCAGATCCTGGCAACCCTGACTGTGAAGAACTTTTTCTAATGTCCAGTATAAACTTACTTTCTAGTAGCTTATGGCCATTGTTCCTTGTTGTTCCAGGGGGTACCCTGGTGAACAGATCATCGCCTACTTCATGTTGCTCTCCCCTTATGAATTTGTATGCCACCACAAGGTCCCCTCTCAGCCTTCTCTTACAGAGGCTGAAGAGGTTAAGGTCCCTTAGCCTTTCCTCATAAGGCCTTCCCTGCAGGCCTCCAATCAGACGAGTGGCTCTTCTTTGGAACCTCTCCAAGTTGTCCACATCCCGCTTGAACTGGACACAGTACTCCAGCTGCAGTTTGACCAGTGCCGCATAGAGAGGGAGAATCACCTCCCTGGATCTGTTTGTGAAGTACCTATGGTTGCACGACAAGGTGTGATTGGCTCTGTCAACTGCTTCATCACATTGGCGAGTCATGTTCATCCTAGAGTCAACAGTGACTCCAAGGTCTCTTTCTGACTCAATGGTGCTAAGAAGGTCGCCCCCCAGCCTGTAGGTATGATGGCAGTTCTTTCTCCCTAGATGCAGCACCTTGCACTTATCCTTATTGAATTGCATCCTGTTGCTCTCTGCCCACTTCCCCAACCTGTCTAGGTCAGCCTGGATCTAGTTCTTCCTCTCCAGGGTGTTAGCTTCACCCCATATTTTTGTGTCATCTGCAAATTTGGACAGGGTGCTTTCCACCCCTTCACCCAGATCACTGATGAAGATGTTGAACAGCACCAGCCCCAGAACTGAGCCCTGAGGGACTCCACTGCACACATCTTTCCAGGTTGACACTGAGCCATCCACCACCACTCTCTGAGTGCAACCCTTGAGCCAGTCTGCTACCCAGTCTACCATATAATTATCCAAGGCAAATCTCCTCAGTTTATTAATAAGGATGTTATGGGATACCGTGTCAGAGGCCTTCTTGAACTCTGGATAGATAATATCCACCTCGACTCCTGCATCTAAACATTTGGTGGCCTTGTCATAAAAGGAAACTAGGTTAGCCAGGCAGGCCCTGCCTGCTATAAACCCATGTTGGTTACCCCTCCGCATCACATTAGCCAGCGGGCTCCCACAGATGTGCTCCTTGATAATTTTTTCTAGGATTTTCCCAGGGATAGAGGTAAGGCTGACTGGTCTATAGTTCCCTGGATCCTCCTTCCTCCCCTTCTTAAAAATTGGGACGACGTTAGCCCTCTTCCAATCCTCCGGAACCTGACCGAAGCACCGTGAGTATATCCTTGCCAGTGTTTCAGCTATGACACTCACTAATTCCTTCATTACCCGTGGGTGGAGTCCCTCCAGTCCTGGTGATTTGAACACGTCCAGTCCCTCCAAGTGTCCTTTTACCGTGTCAGCACTGACAGTTGGTTGGCTGATGTTCCCCTTGTTGGTGTCCATGATGCATAATGAGGGTTCGTCTAGATTCCTAGTTAAGAAGACAGAGGCAAAAAACTCATTGAAGAGCTCTGCCTTGTCCCTGCTATCCGTCACTAAGCCCCCCCTGCCTGTCCTGTATGGGTCCTATGCTACCCTGCACCGTCTTTTTGCTCCCAACATACCTAAAGAAGGACTTTTTTATTGTCCTTAATCCTTGCTGCTAGCCTGAGTTCTAGAGCTGCCTTGGTCTTCCTGACTGACTCCCTGCAGGTGGGCCAAGGAAGTGTACTCCTTGCTAACTACCCCCTGCTTCCACTTCCTGTATGCTTCATAAAATATTAAGGTATTTCAAATTAAAATCCAAGCTTCTGTGCATGCTAATCCATACCAATTATTTTGAGATTTGACCATCATAATGAACCATCAATTTCTGTTGTTATATCTTCAAGTACAACAGATGTAAAAAGACCCCTTTAAATCTAGAACTTTACAAACTTGCCTTCAGGGTGCCACATTTTGTTTGAATTGTTTCCACTTAAGTATTCTCATGCCATAGAAAATTGCTTTCGTGCTCCAAGCCTTTCTGTAGAAGATCAGCACTTTTAGTTCTGAAGGCAGCACCATCAGACATGTTATTAATTAAACAAATAGTACTGTTCCTTATGCCATTTCCGAAACTTTGGCCATTGTCCAGATAGACTGTAACAAATCAAAAGCAACTCAAGTCACTTTCCCCGTTCACTTCACGTCAGATTCACCATGCAGCTGTCTAAACTAGTTTCTTTTCTGTAGTAGCAAATATGTTTGAAGAATGTTGAAAGGAATGCAGATGTTTGAGTCCTTTGTTTGCCAGACAGGTTTACATTCACTGGTACCAAAAAAAAATTAAAATGATTTATTTCATCCATTAAAAAAAAAAAAAAAAAAGGTTTTGGTTTTAGTTTTTGTAGTAAAGGCCTGGCACAGATTCAAGTAGCATGCATTCACTTGACTGAAACAAAGATGACAGAGACTTTGTTTTATATTTAGATTGAAACATTTGAAATTCTTTAGAAATTCATGGTAATTCTATATAATCTATCTTAGATACCATAAGAGAAATTTCCTGAGGTGGAAGCTAGAATTTCTCTTATTCTCATCCATTTCTCTCTTTCTTCATAACTAAAGAGACTTCTTTCTATAGAGATGTCCTTTAGCTCTTTTTTCCATATTTATTTTTAAGGCAGATTGGAGATGCTTTGTTCTGCAACACAACTATATGAAAGAGATGTGTACAGTGGGGGTGTCAAAGATAAGGCCCACAGGCCAGATTTGGAGCATAGAGCTGTGTTATCTGACCTGGGGGGCTCCCTAGGGGCCTGGAGATTTGGCAGCAGGTTAAGTGGTGGCAATAGCAATACAGACAGTGGCAAGACAAACCATTGTGTCTTCTGGCCCATGGGGCTGCCCTCAAGGCTGGAAATTTGGCAGCAGAAGATGCAGCAGTTGCAGTGCCTCTGTGAATAGCGGCAGTTAGCATTGTCACCACCAATTTCTGTTCCCTATGGGCAGCCCTATGAGCCAGATGACATGGCTCTGCACTCCAGATCTGGCATATAGTTGTCCCCAAGTGACAGGTCCAAAACGCTGGATGAGTTTAATGCTCTTTTGTTACACTAGCTTTTGTTATGCAGTCTGTGGCCATGAAAACAGATTTGGTCTTAAACAACTAGATGCCATGAACTTGATCTTCCTTACATTTAATGTCTATATGTAAGAATTTTTATTATGTTTTACATAAGTTTGTACAGTTAATCAGTAAGCATACAGCAATAAAATTGCACAGACTCAAAAGTGTGCTTGAAGCTGATGAACAAGTATAAAGTCTGTTCTTGTCCTAAAAATCTCTTGAACAAACCTATTCTCATAACATTTCTAGCCTACCTTCTCAGAATCACAACTCTGCTAAGTTTCAGCTAAGCATCTGAAATGGGGATTAATTTTGTAAACCTAACCAGACTTACCCATCACTAGTCTGTGCATCAGATTTAAAAATAAAACAATACATTATGATGACAGTGTTTTTATTTTTGAAAGATTTGACTCATTCTAATAAAACTTATGAAGAAAAAGGCTTATTATACATTTAGTAGTAAGTAGACATTTTTCAAAAGATGTGACTTCTCTTTTCTGTTAATTCTTACTCTCCCAAAAATGTAGTTTCTTAAAAAGAGTCAGATAAATCCTCAGTTGTAGAAGTGTGCATTGTTTCATCTAAGATGTCAGTGAAAATCTAATAACCATTTGTTTTCCCTTTCTAGTTTTTTTATATCAATATTAGGACAGCAATTTTCTTCCTAAAACTTGATTGCTGTGGGAGAGTTCTAGTTTCCCTTTCTAAGTATAGCCCCCTAATCCCATCTTTTCCATCTATCTTGCTTTAAAAATTAGAACCTTTTCTTCTCGGAGAAATGCAAACTGGTGTCATCTTTTGGGGTCGAGACTCAAGTCACCCCTTAGAAAATGCTAGTTCTTAGCTTTCATTCATTTTTTGATTACAGAAAAAAAATAGCAGAGCAGTTCTTCTGTTGCAACAAACTCAGAGAGACCAAGACAGATCACAATGCTTTTGATACTGTGGATTCCTATTTGAAATCTGTGGGTTTCTCTTGTGAATCATGTAGATGTTTGCACGTTTGTCAGTGGTAATATTGTGCAGTACCCCAAAGCATCCTTAAAAGAATCTCACTGCACCCGTGGACATCATGGCACCTCAGTTAAGAATTACCTGACTGCTTGATAGGTCTATATTTTTGAACACCTGTTTGAATACATTAATGCTTTGGGAGATATACTGGGAAAGGGAGAAGGGATCAACAGTGATGAGTAACCCCCTTTGCTATCAGTTATACCCATTGTTATATTTTGCTGATTGATCTTGCCTTTGAGTACTGCACATTGCATTTTGTTCTTCAAAACTGAACTAAGAAGCCCTTTATGGTAATGGAGAAACCAGCATTGAGCTTCTTTGAGAACACTATTCTCAAAGAACTGTCAGGGTTAATATTGTAACACTGACACTTTTAGCAGCATCTCACCACCCTGCATAGAAAAAGCTCTTGTTAGTTGGACTGGAAGGTTGAAAAGTTATCATCTAAAATATTTAGAGAATCCTATCTTTCCCATTAGATACAAAGCAGTTGTTACAATTCTTCCTTTATAAAACTCCCTGAAGCAGTATTCACCCCTGGCCATACACTTTGAAAGTATCTTAAATGAGGAAGTCACTTCTGTTTGCTAAAGCTGAAAACAAAATTGTTGGATGTTATCGTGTGAATGACAAATTTATGCCTAAACTGGATAACTGTCTTAAGTCAATAAATGCAGCAGATCTCAGTGTAGAATATTCAAGTATTGAGGATACAGAGAATTGAGTACAGGCACCTTGACATCTTTCTCATTCTGTTTTTATTCTTTAATGTTTAGGTGCCTTGACCCAAGCCATTCGCAATTTTGCAAAAAGCCTTGAAGGTTGGCTTTCCAATGCCATGAACAATATTCCACAGAGAATGATACAAACCAAGGTAAATTAAGTAACCACTGTTTTCTTCACTTTAGTTTTGAACAAAAGTGGCATTATGTAATAGTGTATTGGAATGACATTAGCAAAAATAGCAGTAGTTTAATAATTACAGCAAATGTTTTTATATTTAGGCTGGAATCCGAGCATAAAAGAGGTGTGGGAAATTAGTTTATTGACAAAACAATTTGAAAGAAAAAAGGAAAGACTATTTAATCTGGAGTATAAGTGTTTTGTTTCATAAATAAAGTTCACAGAAAATAAAGTAGAAAATATTGTCAAGGAACAAGTTGATCTACAATTAACATAAGTGCAATATAATACTAGGAAATTAATTTCTTCATAGGTTGCCGCTGTAAGTGCCTTTGCCCAGACTCTGCGAAGATACACATCTCTTAATCACCTGGCTCAGGCAGCTCGTGCCGTGCTTCAGAACACATCTCAAATTAACCAGATGCTCAGTGACCTCAACCGTGTTGATTTTGCCAATGTCCAGGTAAACAGTGATTTTAGAGAAGAGAGTTTTATAAAATATCCCTGTTATTTTCCTCAGAACTCTGAGCATTAGTATTAGCTTTCATTCTACCACTGACAGAGTGCAACAAGCACACGTTTCAGATTTTTGAGAGTGGTTTTCTCCAAACCTTCAGTCCCCAAGAAGGAAGGACACCAAGGCTGTTCTGTGTTTTTATTTTCTCTGGGGTTTCCTATTTTTAGCCAAATATGTCAGGCTAACTTAAATTTATGGAGATGATAATACAGAGTCCATTGCTATTAGAACCAAGGTCTCTCTTTTAAGATGAAGTATATGGCTATAGCCGTGGTCTACTGCATATGTCCAAAAGTAGCTAGCTGTTTTGCCATGTGTCTAGCGGAAGTACCTTGCTAACCTTATTGAATCATGAGAGAGTAGCACTGTTGTACAGTAATTAAAAAGGGGCATTATAGAATTTAGACTTTGATTCCAGTTTCTCTGCAAATGTTTTATATACCTGACTAGTCTTTGTTCGAACATCACAGCTTTCTGTTACTATGCCTGCCTCCCTGGTGCCTATGCCCCTCCTCTCCACTTGTTTCCCTCTCCTTCCTGTCCCTGCCCCCTCCCCCACTGCTCTGGCTCCAATCCCACCTAGCCAGGCAGCAGCAGTTGTGGCAGTGGCAGCTCTGGCCCCAGTCCCAGCCCTGGGCCAGAGCTGCCACTGCCACTGCTGCCTGGCTGGGTGGGAGCTAGAGCCACCATGTGCTGAACAGGGTCAGAGCCACAATGGAGGGTAAGGAACAGCTGGAAGAGGGGAGCAGGTGATGGGCTGAGAAGTGGGGGCACAATGGCTGCAACTCCAACCCTGAGCCTAAGCAGCTTGCAGCATCTCCTGTCCTCACCTCTTCCACCTTGTACTCAAATCCAAGACAAGGGGCTTTATTCCACATGTTGACTAAGAAAACTCATCTTGGATTGGAGTAAAAACAGTACTTTGACTTAGCAAATAGGTCTTATCTCTTTAGTTGACTCACTGACATTCCCTCCATTTTATTATACTTTGTTACTATTCTATCACTCTT